TATATATATATATAGAATGTAAAACAGGGACATTCTGTTACTGATTATAAAGGTGATAAACAAAATGCCTGCCAAGATAATGGTCTAATATGTCTTCATTTTGAGCATAATTCTTTTTGTTTTGTTTTGTTATGTTTCCCCCAAATAGTTAAGAATAAAGATTACAAATGTTGAGATTAATTGTAATGTGTTATTCATGTATTAATTAAATCTAGAGAACCCAGTATGAACCTAAGGTAATATGTACCTTGGAGGTCCTGTTGTGCTATAGGATGAGCACTGGACTGCTAACCATAAGGTCTTCAGTTCAAACCCACCAGCTACTCCTCAGAAATCCTATACAGGGTAACTATGAGTTGGAACAGACTCGAAGGCACTTAACAACCACCACCACCACCTTGGGAATAAATCAGTCCCTCAGTTTTTGATAGAAAATAGCTGGTATCTTATGAACATGGGGAGAAGGTGTTTTATTTCTACAATGCTTAGATGCTTATTAATTAATTTCATTTGTGACAGACAGGAGCAGAAAGATAAAATAGAGGGTCCCTGCCTTCAAATAACTCAAGGAAATTCCAGACATTGTATTGCAACATGATAGAATTCAGACTGTGAGGGAGGCATGAGCAGGGAGGAAGGTGGCTGGGGCTCCAGTCTTTGTTTTCTGGGCATGGCCAAGAAAGCTTTCATCACCAAATGCATTCATCTACCAATCTATCAAGTCATTCAACACATACATATTGAAGACCTACTATGTGTCACGGATGTGTTGGTAAGATACAGTTACTCAGAGTCTAGCATGGGATATAGCCAATCAAATGGGAAATTATATAGGTAGGCACCTTGGTAAGGTTAGGTATTCTGTGAGTGCTCAGTGGAGGTACATACCCCCACACTGGAAATGCGGGGAGCAGAGAGTGGGGCCTTGTGGAAGAAGTTGAGTTCCAAAGTTGATGTTCAATCCTAAATTGAGTTCCAAAGGATGGATAAGAGTAGGCCAAGTGGAGGTTACATAGTGGTGAGTCTCTTCAAGAGAGAACAGAATAATCAAAGGGTTTCAGGTGAGAGACAACCAGGAACCTGTAATGAACTTGAAAGGCAGAGGAAAAGTACAGTGAAGTACAAATGACAGAACTGAAGCTTGAGAAGTCAGAAGTCATGGGGAATTGTCTTGTTTCTAAGTGCTGTTGAGTCAGTTCCAACTTGTAAAAACCTGTGTAGGGTTTCAGAGGAGCTGCTGGGAGGTATGAACTGCCTACCTGGCAGTTAGCAGTCCAGTGCTTATCCTGCCACACCACATAAAGACTCCTCTTGTCTTACATCTAGTTGGGGGAGTTTCCATTGCTACAATGAATAGGAAAATGTTTACTCAAAAGCAGGGGTCCCCAGGGAGACCTGTTGCCTCCTCTTCACCTTCACAGTGCCTGTCCCCACCTGTCTGCGAGAAGTACAGGTCCACTGCCCTCATTATTCCTGAATTTCCCATTTGAGGAGCATAGTACACACACCTGTTGGACTTCCCTAGTGAAGAAGAGCTGGAACGTTGCATGGATTGGTCTGTACCCAATGGTTCATGTATTCTAGCTGCCTTTGTATCAGGGCCAAGGGCACTTAGAACCTTCTGGAGCCATTCCTTTTTCATGTTTATCACCATGTTTTATTTGTGTGTATGTAGGTCTCTTGCATCTGAACAGGTTCTCCTTGAGGGCAGGAGTTCAAGTCTCCTTCATCCATGTATCCCTAATGTTTCCCCCACTATGGGGCAATAAGTGGGGGTCAGTTTTCTTAAAGCTCATTGTGTCTTCTCTAGCTTCTCCAAAGCAACAAATTCTCTGCCAGAGAGGTTTTGAATTGATTCATGTTGACCGGCTTTCTCAATTTGCAAGAGGAAAGTACTTTCATGAGACAAGAGACCAAAACGGAAGTTTTGTATCATATGGTGAGCCTCTAAATCTTGGGCCTCCATTTCTTCATGTATAAAACAGATTTGGAAACTCACATCTTGACATATACTTAGGGGTATGGAGGAGAATGCAAAATTAGACAATCTAAAACAGTGGTAACCTGGGCCTATTTTAGAGTGGCTATTGGGTGATTTCTTTGTAATTAATCCAGACCTTTTCCTATATGGCCTCCAATTTGTTCATCTGTGAAGGCTCCTTGGAAGTTACCTTGTCTGAAACTTTAAGACTGAAACACCAAGCCATTCCATATTTCCATGATCATTCCAGGGGTCTCCAAGCTGGAGTGTTCCAAGACCCAGTCAGTGATTGGATATCTATGTAAGTAAACCAGCTTCATGTCCAGGGTACCGACAATCCCTGGGTTATGAACATACAATTTATGGTCAACTTGTATTTGTCCTTT